GGCTGCTCCCAGCAGCATCTCGAAGGTTGTGGTAGATACCAGCAAGTCTGAAGGGGAGAAATCCGAGCCTCCCCCAGCTGTGGCAGTGCCAGGGCTTTGTGTTTGGTTCACTAAAGCCTTGCAGTTCTGCATGCGATCAACCTTTACACCTTGTGTAAGGGCTGTACCTTTCTCCCTGCTGGCAGACCTCATTTGCAAATAGGGAAATGAGGCCAGGCTGTGGTCGCCCTGCCTGGAGGTGGGTCCTTTTCGTGCAGCTCCCCTACTGTGGGCAGGAAGGCAGTTCTGCTCGTTCATATGGGCATGGTGCTTCCCTGGTACAGCCATGTCAGTCCATGCACTTGCACTGGTGCAAGGGCAACCGTCAGTGGCTGTATTGGCAACCTGGAAAACTGGCACACAGCTAAACGCATTGCTGAACCTTAGTCTTATGGGGAGCCTGTGCCAATTCCCTGAGCTAGATGCAAATGCACCAGAGCTTCCCCTAAAGCACCTCTGCCTTGGGCATGATAACCAAGCTGCTGCCAGCATCTCTTGGATGACATCTGCACCATCTCACTGCTGTGAGCAGTCATTTAGCTAGCTTAAATCTTCACAGCATCTTAAAGCTCAGAAGTAGTGTTATCTCTGGGGGGGGCACTTTTGTGGTCTGTTGGGCTTGGGGAGCTGGCTGCAGCTTGTGCTGGTTGTGGCAGCTTGAGCAGCTGCAGGGCTGGAGGTATCCCCAGCCCAGCAAATGACACAGGACAGCCCTACGCAGGGGATGAGGCTGTTGGTGGCCTTTGTGGCACGCTGGGCACCCCTGCACGGAGCTGGGTCCATCTGCCACCACTGCAAGAGGACACTGCCATCTAGTGTCCTCTCGTGCTCCCATGTGCCGTGGTGGCCAGTGCAGAGGACAAGCCAGCCCACCTGCCCAGATAACCTCCGTCTCCTCCATCCCCAGCACTGTGCTGCTGCTCAACCGCTCCGAGGTGCAGAGCGAGTTCCTCTCCATCGCCGAGCGGCTGAGCTGCCCGGAGCCGTCGCGGCGCGCCACGCTCCTCGTGCTGCTGGAGCACCTCTACCAGGCCAACTTCGGCACCCGCTGTGACCTGGGCAGCCTGCGGCACCTCCTGAAGGTAGGTCCTCCCCCATGCCTATGGGCCCGTGGATGGTGCAACCCGTGCCCGGCGCTTGTTGGGAAGTGCTTGGTGCACTTTGCTCGCCTGGCTGAGCCTTGCAGGCTGTGGGACCTTGCAAGGCAGCTGGGAATGCTTGGGTACTGGCATATATCCAACCAAAATAATATTCCATCATCATAAAAGTGTGCTTTGACAGCTCTCATTGCGAAAAAACACCAAGACCTGAGCTCTGTGCTTCTGTGCGGGGAATGGGGTGTCCTGCCTTGTACTGCTTTATTCCCTTCTCCATCCCTAAGCAAATTTGAAATAAAGATTTGAAATAGAGCCTAAGTTTTTATTTGGTCACTTTGGTGTTTGTGGAGGGTCAAAATTTACCTGTTAGGTATGTGTAAAAGCCTTTTCTTTTCTTTGCAGAAGTTTTGGAGAAGCTGTTTGGGAAGGGGCAGGAGGTAGTAGAGAGGGGCCAGGTCTACCCAGCAGGACCTAGTGATGGCCCTGGAGAGCTGTGCGTAGCTTTGCCGAGGGACCCATGCGCTCTCTCTTCTTGTCTCTCTCCCCTGTCCAGTCCAAGTCGCTGGAAGAGCTCTCGGAGATCTATGCCAGCGCCGCGGAGGCCCAGGAGGCAGCAGCCGCCAGCAGCGAGCCCGCCCGGGCGCGGGAGCAGCTGCAATCGGCCCTGCGAGAGCTCGCCGGAGCCACGGCCTTCCCTGCCGCCGCGGGTGAGCGCGTCCCCTCTTCCCAGGCGCCGGCCTGCGCATGGATGATGAGCAGCTCTGTTTTGTGGGTGTCAGGAGCTGGCCCTTTGAAGTGTGAAATCCTGTTTTGCACAGGGTTTCAATCTTGCACAACAGAAAAACCCAGGTCCTATTTGCTAACCACATGATGAGACAGAAATTGTTTCTGGTCTTTCATTAAAACAAGTGCCAAAAAAAAATCTCCCGCCTTTGTGGGTGAGATGAAAACACTCAATCAGAGATTGGTTGTAGTGGTGACATTCTCCAGAGTCTGCAGGTGGCCTGGACTGAAGCTCTTAAAGGCGCCAGATGCGCCCCTTGTCCCCAGGCTCACCTCAGCTTGGTTCTCCTGAGTGATGGTACCAATGTGGCCTGGACTGCCACATATTTGGCATATTTTGGGTGGACAACCTCTGCCTCAGGCACTGTTGGCCCTGGGGTTGCTTGTTCCTGGTGGGAGGGTTACCTGAGAGCAATATGAGGGCCTCATGCCCTCTGCTTGAGGGCAGGAAGGGTCTAGCTCAGACCTGTGCAAGGACATTAAATTTGCTTTGGGAGGAGAAGCTTCCCCTGTCATCCCCAACAGGCAGACCCAGGGATGTGGAGGAAGAAGGCAGAGCAGTGGAGGGACCCGCAGTCTGGCACGGGGCCTCCACGACAGGGAGGGTCCCTGCAAACTAACCTCCCTTTTCCTCCTCTGCCTTCCCAGGTGAGGTCCAGCCCCGCAAGCTCCACACCATCCCCATCCCTCCAGCTCGCTGTTACACCTACAGCTGGGATCAGGATAACTTCGGTAAGCTGGGAAGTGAGCAGCCTGTCCTGGGGACTCCAGGGGTGGCAGCAGGTCAGCATGGGTGGACAGCACTGTACTTTCCAGCCAGGCACTGAGAGAAACCCATCCCTGTCAATGAGAGAGAAGTTTGTGCTCTTAAGACTTGTAAGACAGCTCTTCTACCCTTCCTACAACAGGGACAGCTGAGGAGGCTTTTTTTAATATCCAAGTTGATGAATCTTGATGCTCTTGGTCTTGCTGCAGCAGTTTTGCAGGGGAAGTGATGACTTCCCTTTTTGCCATGCTCTTTGGTTTAAGTTCCCTATTCCTGGAAGACCTTTTCTTTTCCTCTGAAGGTTTGTTGCCTGCTGGCCCCAATGAGCTAAATTAGAGCTCTGGTTTCCACTTTGCTGGTAGGATGGCCTTGCCGGGAAGTGGTCCATAGTGGAGTGATGTCTTGTTCTCTGTGTCTGACCGTTGAGTTTTGGCTTGTTTATTGAAATACCTTGCTTCCCGCCCTGCTCCCTGGCCAGACGTGTATCGGACGTATGGAGCATTGCGAAATCTGAGTAGGAAGGAAGCAAAGCCCAAACTGTTGTTTGTGCTTGGGTTTTTGAGAACACAAACAGAATGTAATTTCAAATGGAGAAATGCATTTTGTTTTGTCATCAACTTTGAGCACCTTGTGGAAATCTAAGAGTGTTGTCAAAGAGTAGAGATTTAGTTCTTTGTTTAAAAAAAACGTTCAGCATTAGGAGACAGCACTGGCCAGCCTGCAGTAGAGCTGGCAGCTCAAGGTGGGTGTCTGGGATGTCAATGCACTATTTACATCTCTCATATCTACGGTGGAGTCTCTTGGTGGTGTTGGAGTCCACATTAGACCTGATCTCTCTGCTGCCTTTCAGATATCCTCAACGACATCCTCAGCAAAGAGTGCCACATTGTTGAGCCCCTGGTCTCAGAGAACGAGGAGGAGGAGGAAGAGGAGGAGGAAGTGGAAACTGATGGCTGTTCTTCAGAAAGGGACTCACTGCTTTGCCCCATCTCTGCCATTTCCAAAGACTCTGTATACTCAGCGCTATCGGAGGAAGGATCTAAGCACTCACGAGTGTCCCTCTTTAGTGCTTCCAAGGACTCCATCTCAGAGCTGACAGTTGTCTCCAAAAAGTCCTTGAGGTCTTTTGTCTCTAGCCTCAAGGACTGCATGGACAGCGGCTATGCAGAAGACAGTGATGAGAGCTCTCTGGACATGACAGGAAGGCCAGAGCTCCAGGTGGAGAAGACCCACCACAAATACAGGCACACACTGACCAACAAGATCTACAAGCTCTTCAAGAGCAAAAGCCTCCTGGTCTTGAGGAGAGAGCTGAAGGACTGCTCAGACATGGGCTCGCTCTCCCTGCCCCTGCGCCGGGCCGAGAGCCTGTGCAACCCTGAAGCCAAGCACCGCATCCTGGCGCGTTCGCGGCGAGCCCATTCGCTGCCCCAGCACGTCCTGAGCCAGCGGCTCCCCGCGCACCATGTGGCGCAGCACGCGAGCCTCCACCGCAGGCCCTTCCTCAGCTACGACGAGGACACCAAGGTATCCACGCTGCGCGTCGTGGTCTTCGGCTCTGACCGCATCTCGGGGAAAGTGGCCCGGGCCTACAGCAACCTCAGGTGAGTCGAGACCTGGCTGTGGATGCCAGCATGCCCTGGCTGATGGATATGTTGTGCTGGGTTCTATCACATGGGGCTTTTAGCTAGCATGCCCTGGCTGATGGATATGTTGTGGTGCAATCACGTGGGCCTTTTAGCTGTGGCCCCTGTAGTCCTGGTCCTGGACCATCTGCCATAGTTAACCAGGCTCCCCAGTGCTGCGTGACATGGCAGAGGGACATCTTGCTGCCGTTGTCTAGGAGTGGAGGCGTCAGGGACATTTGCCACCACATGGCACTGGCATGGAGTCACTCCATGATGCCATTGCGGAAATGCCATGCAAACATGTGACAAAAAAAGGATTCCTGTCTGTAGGTCTTGAATTCTCTTTTCCTTCCATCATCTTATTGCTCTGGGAGTGGGGAAGGATCCTTAGGCTAACAGTGAGATCTAATTCTGCACATCATATCCCGCCTTCCCTGGGTATGCTGGAGTGTTTGCTCACCCCGTCCTCTCCCACCTTGATCTAGGCTGAAAGAAAGCACCTGCCCCTCACTGACAAGGTACTTCAAGCTGCAGTTTTACTACGTCCCTGTGAAGAGGAACTGCCTCTTCCCGTCGACCCCGCTGCTACATCCCCCCCACTCCCCAGGGGACCCGCATCTCCGAGGCTCGGCGCAGGCGGTAGGTGTCCTGCCCGCTGTGGGCTCGTGCTTGGCTTCCTGCAGCCCTAGAGCGGCTGTGAGGAGCCCAAAGACCAGGGGGGCATCTTCAGGGGAGCGCTGGCGTGTCTTCTTGAGTGAGGGGAAAGAGCAGCACTTACAACTCCGTTCATGGCGGAGCTCCAGAATGACCCTGATGTGCCTTGTTTCAGGAGCCTGCGTTGGCCAAGGTGGAGACTAGCACCAATGACATCTCTCACTACATTGGGATGTTGGACCCCTGGTATGAGCGTAATGTTCTTGGGCTGATGAGCTTGCCCATGGATGTTCTCTGTCAGGTATGTGCCTGGCCACATCATATGGTCTAGTGTCTGTCCTTCTTGACTTCCTTCTTCCCTGTGGTATGGTGGAGCTGGGCAGGGAGCATCCTGTGTGAGCACCAGGCCACCAAACCAGTGGCCTGATTGTGTACAGTGGAATATGGGATGGATATGGGGTGGTCCGTGGTCGTCTGGAGTCAGGAGGAAGGTTTCTGTTCCCAGCATGATGCAGGGGGCAGTTCTTGGTGCGGGGCTGTGGGTACATGTGCCCAGCACAACGGCAACTCACACACTTGCCCCTGCTATTGCAGTCTGCCAAGCTGGAGCCTGAGCCTCAGGAGGACTCCAGGGAGCAGCTGCCCATCCTGGCTGACATGATTCTCTACTACTGCCGCTTCGCCACGCGCCCCGTGCTGCTGCAGCTCTACCAGACGGAGGTAGGAGAAAGGGCCCAGCCCTGCCTAGAACGGGGGAAAGAGGGATCTTCTGCTCTATGACCAACTCAGCACCACCTGTAAAGGGGTTCTGGCTTTTTGGTTGGTGCTCTGACTCAGTGATTAAATGTATTGGTGGCCCCAGATTGGTCTGGGAAGACCTGGCTGAACTCTGTGAGGCAGCAGCGTCTGCCAGGACTGCCCAGCCGTTCTCCAGCATAGTGGCCAACACGGCACCCAGACTTGGTCTCGCTCAGACAATCCATGGCACATAGTTTTCCATCCAAATATATTTCCCCATCACAAAAGCAACTTCTATCAGTGTTAACAGGTCATACACAGTCCTCCTGTGCTCTTCTTTCTGGAAAAAAAAATAGCCTTTTTTGAGCTCTTGACCCTTGTGGTGTGCACAGGCATGATGGGGAAGGCTTGACTGCAATGCCATAATGATCGCATTGATGCTGCAGTGCTAGATGTGTTGCACCAGTGTCATGACCAGCAGAATTGCTGCTTATTCAGTGCAGGTTCTGAGCCTGGGATCTGTGTTACGCAGAGTGATGCCTGGACCCTAGTGCTACGCTCATAATTTTTTCCCCCTCCAGTGTACTGAGCAGTTTTCTATAAGGAAATTGTCTGTTTTCACTTGGCTGAAGAAAACATTAAAGTGTTTGCCCAAACCAACCTGTTTCTTGCTGTGAGGAGTGAGAGGGATGAACATCATCCAGTGTGGGCCAGGCCCCCCAGCTGTGTTTCTTTGGAAGGGTCTCTCACGTCACATATCCTATCCTCTTCCCCTGGCAGCTCACCTTCATGGGCGGGGAGAAGATGACCGAAGTCTTCATCCACTCCCTTGAGCTGGGTCACTCGGCGGCCACGCGGGCCATCAAGGCATCAGGTTTGTGACTGACTCCCACTGTGCTTCTGCAATAACAGAAGCAGAGGTGGGTGAGACAGCCAGGCGGGGAGGTGAAGGGATCAGCTTTTTTTTTTGGATAATCATTTGCAAAATACTTCTTTCTATTTACTTAGTCTCACTGGGCAGAGCGAGCAAGCTGCAGTGCTTTTTTGCACATGGCTGCAGTCTTCAAGCCAGTGCCATCCTTAGACTTAAAATAGGAATCCGTGAAATTATTAGAGACAGGAGAAGTAATTACAGAAGTATTAATTAGCCTGCAGCCAGATTTCCAGCTCTCTCCTAGCCTAGGAAAGCCCACGTGCTGTCTGGTATGGCGCAGCTTGCAGAGACATCTTGTGGTCAACTAACATCCTGCATTTAAATATGTCAATTATTTACATTTTAAACCAATTGCTTTTCCGAAATCTCTCCTTGTCTTTCTAAACAGAAATTGTAAAATATCCTGCATATAAAGTGTTACCACCCTACACCCTCAAAATGTAGGCTAGGCTAAGATTTTTTTTGCAATAGCTCATGAACCCACAGATCTTTTCTGGCCACTTTTTCCTTTGGCTTGTCTGACAAACACCACTTTTTATCTCGAAAAAAAAATCCAGGAAAAAGTACTACTAAGTGTGGACCACAGAATTTCAAGGCTAATTTATTGTGGGCCCCGGATAAAAGAGAGCTGGATTAAATGTGGCCTTTTATTGCTTTGTGTATTCCTTGGAGTACCAACCGCACGGCACCAGCTTAGCTGGCACCGCTGTCAGTTTTGCAAAGCTGCTTGTTGTGCTGCCCTGGATTAATCGTTTTGTGGCAGCTTTCAAGCCACCTTTTCTTTTTGCCTTTCACTCTTCAGCTGTATTCAGCAAACCGGGAATTTTTCCCTTTCTGTAGCTCCCGAGCGCGCTGCTGTAGCAGTAGCCCACTGAAGAATGGGATAAAAGGCCACTGAGTGACGTTTGCTCCTTGTTTTGTGCAGGTCCCGGCAGCAAAAGGCTGGGCATAGATGGAGACAGAGAAGCGATCCCGCTAACACTACAAATCGCCTACAGCAAGGTGAGTCCATGGGACCTGCACAAAGACAAACGTGGCAGGACACCATTGCAAGGTCGTGCAAACATGGCCCTCAGCTAGGAGCTGAGGCTGGGGCTTGCACATGCTGAGTGTGTGCTGGGGAAGTCTGAATTGAGGTCACATGAACCAAAATCTGGCTCAGATCCAGATCTGAGTTAGCCCAGTCAAAGGGTGAGGGATGGAGAGGTAGGGTAATATCAGGGAAAGTGGCATCTCACAGGCTTTTGTTGGTCCCCGCAGACAGCTGTCAGTGGAAGAAGTCACTGGAATGATGTTGAGAAGGTCTGCACGTCCGTCAACCTCAGCAAAGCCTGCAAGAAGTATGAAGAACTAGGTGGGTCCGGGTGTCCCTTGTGGCTTTGCATGGGGAGCAATGGGAGGGGTTGGCAGAGTGAGAGGAGAGCTTGGACCTACTCACTGGAGCAAAGGAGGAATGTGTGACGTGCAGAAGACACGTGGGAGATGCTTAGTGTTCCCTGGGGCAATGGATACTGTACTCCTTGGCTCTTCCTTAGCAGCACTTCAGAGATGAAGAGGATTTGATTTGCCCTTATCCTGAAGTTTCCAGCCAAGGAATTGTTTAGTTGTATTGGATGTCCAGCAGGAAAGGGACTGGGGCTGTGCAAGCAGAGGGGTAGTCACCAGAGAGTGGTGCTTTCCAGAAAAACACCCATGTAGTAAGAGATAGCTCACACCAGGGAGAAGCTTCTGCTTTATCAATCTTCATTTTAAGAGAAACTGGGTCTCCAGTGTTTTATTTTTTTTTATGAGTGTCTCCTTCCTCACCAGTTTGACCACAGGATGTCGCTGTAATTCCAGAAATGAGGAAGGATCTCTAGGTGGGCTGCCGCAATGATCATGGTGGCAGCTAGCGTTTCCTCCTGGCAAAGGGGAAATGATGCTTCTCCTCTTTAGGTCCTCATATAGTGAAAGGTCCTGTGCTGCTCTGTTCAGAAAGCTGTCTGAGGTTATTTCATAGGCCAGTTTACCCCGTCTCCGAGTTGCCTTCCCTCTGTGTGGGCTGGCACGAAGGACGGAAGGCTGGAAAGTGTATTGGTTAGACTGGGGTGTGCATGGAGGCTCGCACTGACCCAAGAGAGTTGATGCCTCCAGGCTCAGCACTGGGATCTGCCCCTACATGTTGAATATTCCCTCTCCAGCCAGCTGCTTTTCCCTGATAGGGGATGGTCCTGCTGAGACAGGCCCATTCTGGGATGCTTTGAGGGGTGGAAGAACCACTCAGATTCCCACCAGTGGCCCAGAAGCCCCAGTACTAACAGTTTCCTTTTGTTACAGCCTCAAAAACAGAGTGTCTCAACTTAACCATGACTGAGGTGGTCAAAAGGCAAAACTCTAAATCCAAGAAAAGTTTCAATCAGGTAACTCAAACTACAAAGCTTTTACATTTGGTAATGAGAGGTTATGGGAGGGAGGCAGGGCAGGAGATGGAGTTTGAGACCTTGGAACCAGTTGCCACTGGACTTCAGTCTTAACTTACAGGGCTAGCAACATATGGAAGCAGGTTATTTCTCCTGCAGGGTTTGCAGTGGGAGCATCTCAGCTCCCACTCGCTGGAGGTTGGAGCAGGTTTGTTCACTGTTAGAAGCAAGGCCAGTCCCAGAATTTGGAAACTGGATCACCAAGAAGGCCATCATGTAACATAGCTCCTAGCAGTAAAGGAAGGGGTTATGCCAATGCTGCTTCCAGAGCAGCAAGAAAGGGCTCTTCTGACCTGAGAGGCAACAAGGGTCATTTCAGCTTTGGGTAGAGTTCCTCACCTTTCTGAGCCCGTGCCATTGCCTTTCCCTGGCCAAATCCTGTCTTGCAAACATCTAGTGCTTTCTTCAAAACAGTTTCCTTGCTCTCCTTCCCTGCACAGAGCCTTGTGAGTTCCCTCACTTGGGTACTTTTTCTCTCTGCAGATCAGCGTGTCCCAGATAAAAGTAGACAAGGTGCAGATTATCGGTGTCCAGTCCTCGTTTGCCGTGTGTTTGGACCAGGATGAGCAGAAGATCCTGCAGAGTGTAACCAGGTAGGACCTCCAGTGTGGCTGCCTGCATGGTCCTGAGCACCGTGGTGGATCTATCGCAGGCAGCTGAGCTGGGTGAAGCAGCTCCAAGTCCTGCAGTGAAACTGAGCCCAGAGCAGTTGGATGGTCCTGCTCAGATCCTGGCAGTAGTTTGCCTTTGTGACTGGCTGGTGTGGTCTAAAGGGTGCTCCGCTGCTCAGCTTAGTGAGGACAGCTCTTCCAGCAAGAAAATTGCAAACCCGAGGAAAGCCATGCAGCATTAGTGAGATATTTAGGAGCACTGGAAACATAAACAGAATCGTCAACTCCAAACTTCATTGGGGTTTTCCATCACCATTAGCACAGCCCTTGTGGAAGGAATTGTGATCTTGACAGATTGGGGTAGAGGGGGCAAGAACTGTTCATTTGACTCTCCATCTGTTAGTGGTGTCCCCAGAGCACAAAGGTGTCTGACTGGGAATGGGATTTGAAAAATCATCAGAGGCAACATATGTCCAAGGGCACAAAAGGGTCAAACCAGTTGATCCATTGGCCTTAACAGTCTCCAAACTTCTTAATGCACTCCTTTGGGAGAGCAGAGCTCTGCAAGTTTATACTGGCTATACAATCTGATAAAGATTATTTATTAAATTACTTCTTAAATTCTTAAATCTAAAGATAAGTTTCCTTTTTTTTAATTTTATTGCCCAACTGATGAGGCAAATGTGAGTTTAATGCAAAAAAAGAAAAACCAGTTATTCTCCCTTCCCTAAATCTTGAGGATGCAAAAATTCTCATTTTTCCCAATGGATTTCAGAGATTACTCTGTATGGATGGTTCTGCTTTAGGTCCCAGCCCAAGCCAGCTTAAAGAAACCTGAACTCTCAGTATGCAAATGCCAGTCGTGCTAGAGTGAACTGATTCCTCTTTGTTTGATGCTGTTTTGTTTTGATGTTTCTGGTGCACCCAAGACCTGTGGTTCTCACATATCTTAGTAATATCTTTTTTTTTTTTTTCTTTTTTCTCTGCAGGTGTGAGATCTCCGTGTGCTACAGACCAAGGAACAGTGATCCCCTTGCACTGAGAACATCCTCTTCGCCTCCCCAGGACCCGTTTGAGTTTCCTTCTCTTCTGTGCTTACCCATTGCTACCTTCAGTGGAGCGCTGCCATAGAGGGACCCTGCTCCCTCTCAAACCACACTCACATCCAACATCCCAAAACAGCCACAGGAAGAGGGATTTGGCTGTACCTCTTTGGGTTGAAGACCTAGCACTTCTCGTTGAAGACATCCTGCAGCCCAAAGCATGAGTGCAGTGGTGGAGCTGCTCCTGGTCTGTGCTTAGACTGCCCTTAGGAAATGGGTACATCAGTGTCATGCTCTCATACCTGCCAGGGCTCCTCGGCAATGCAAGGGAAGGAGTTTCCTTGAGATGTGTGCGTGCTTCAGCAGACTACCAACACGCGGTTAGAGAAGGCAAGGCAAGGACAACGCTGTTTTCCTGCCAGCAAATGGTGCTGTGGCTGTGCTCAACAGTGGCTGCAAAGCCAGCATGATCTGCAGGGAGCTGTTGGTTAGGCACTGTGGGAAGTGGATGGCCTTGGCTGTGGTTCTAATGGTTCTGAATGTCCTGCTGACATTTCACCTGTAACAAGTCTTGAGATTCTCAGGACAGTTCTTCAGGATGGGAATAGTCTTTCTCAAAGGTTTAAAATGCTTTAAATCACAAAACTTGGGTATTGGGTATAGAGGGACCTAGCTGAGGCCCAGGAAGAGCTGCTGTTTGTGTTTTGGTGAATCCAGTGCAATAGGTTATACCAGTGCAATGATGGCTTGTCATGCACACATGTGTTTACTGTAAGTCCAGGAGCTGCGGGAGATTTTTGCAGACTTCTGATTTTTGCAGACTTTGAGAGCTCATTCAGAAGAGGATGAAATCCCTGTTTGGCCCATGCTTCCCAGCACTGAAAAATAGAGACATCGCAAGCGTACGATCCTCAATAGTTGCTTGAAATATGGAAGTAGGGAATATTTCCCTACTTAAACTTGTAGGAGGGAAGGAAGCACAGAGGAAACTGCTCAGATTGCCTTGAATTCACCTGAGTGGGCAACTTCGGCTGAGAAGGACCCAGCCACAAAAACACTAGTGACCCTTGCAGCAGCAATAGGATTCGAGATCCCCTCTCCTGTGCAAGGAGAGGCATTCCCCCTCCTGCCCCTTGCCTCATTCTCTCTACAAGGCTTTAGGTACAGAAAGGTGCAATAGTTGGGAGTATTTGGAGGTATTCCGAGTCCAGGAGCAATAAAAGAATTGGGAAGAGTCTTCCCTAATTTCTTAACTCAAAAGCTGTTTCTGAATAGTTGTTGATGACAGGCACAGGAGCGTGTCTGTGCAGCCTGATACAGGCAAAGAAGATCCGCATGCTGAGGACATGTTCCTCCTGGGAAGTGGCTGGAAATGTTGTCCACTGGACTGCCACGATGCTGGGCTCAGCTATGGAGGCTCAGATAAGCATGAGTCTCCCTGTCCTTCAGAAGATGAGACTTGAGCAGCTTTTAGCACTTCTTAGAGCAATCTGGTCTCTGTCCTGCAGGGCTGGTGGCAGAGTAGCAGTCCTGGGTATTGCAGGAGACTCAACACTTTGAAGGTTAAATTTGCCAGGAAAAGAGTCAGAGCCCCTTGGGCTTCAGTTGTCTCAGAGGAGCACAGGCCAGGCTCGTCTGTGGGATTCCTCTACTTCCTGGAAGAGTTTTGGGGATCTCTTCTGCTCTGGGCACTTGTGGCCTGTCAACTGGTGGACCTGTTTTCTCTCCCTGCCACCTCCATTTTTGTTTTGGAGAAGCTTCTTCCAGACCCGTGGGTCTGGTCTTGCTTGGTGAACATCTCAGGTTGACAAGGTGTTCTTTTGGTGTCCTTATCAGCTCTGGGTGCAACCGTTGTCCATGGCCAGAGATCAGCAACAACAGGACATGAACATGCTTCTGAGGTCTCTGCTTTTCATCCCCCTACTTTAATAGACCATCCCAAGAACGGTTTTGCCTTGTGAACTCCAAGAAAAGGCTGTTCAGAGCAAAGTATCACTGAGACACACATAGGTGTCATGACCGCGTTGTGACGCGAAGCTGGCCTGGACTTCTGGCCAGGATCCATGTTCCACGTCTGCCCCCCGACATCCAGAGCAGCTGATTTTCAACACTGTGCAGGGCAGTATCTTTCCTCTGCTCCCAGCAAGGACTTGGCAGGGACACCAGGCTGCGGTCAGGTCACGGTGGGGTGCTCGGGCGCCTGCAGGATGATGTGGAAATGCCAGCTGAGGCCACTACTATGTGTTTTCTTCTGCACATCAATACTGTAAGTCTGACAGCCTCATGGCATCAGACACAGACTCCAGTATCTCTTTCCGTGTACTTGGAAAAAGTTTTCACGCTAACTTTTCATTTCTCCAACAGGTTTGTGTGCGTTGTTTTAAATGGGACTAGAATTTGACATCTGGGTTTTTTTTTTGTTTGTTTGTTTAAAGATGCTTTAAAGAAGCATCTTATCCTGTCAAAACATTGCTATTTGTGATCTTGATATCCATGACTAAATATATCCTTGCCTTCATGAATGACATAAACCTTTTGGTTTCAGATGGCCATTGGACAATCCTGAAGAAGAAAACTTTCATGTCATGGAGAAAAAAAGCACAAACTCTAGGGACCTATAATGCCACCATTTTTTTGATCTCTAATTTGTTTTTTTAAAAAAAGAAAGAAAGAAAAGAAGGAAGTTGGAGGTTATTTCAAGCCATTCTTGTACATATGTGAAGCCTTACCAAATCTTTGTAATATCTATGCTGATCTGTAAAATATTGTTTGAAGAACTATTAAGGTAATTGTAAAATATTAAATGTTGATTTATTTCAAGTATACGTACAGTGGTCCTGCTCCTGGCTGTGTCCCCTCCTTGCATCTGTTCTCGTGACTGATGGCCAAGAAGCTGATTCAGCCCCAAGCTAGTCAAGGTGATTTGCTTCTTGTTCAGTTCGTCTCCTCTTGGATTAGGAAGCTGAGTGGCTTTCCAAAAGCTTCCTGAAAGATCAGGCAAGGGCAAAAGAGACCAAGTGCAGGCAACATCTTGTATCTCTGCTTGTTCTAAGAGACATCTGACTCCTTCCTGCTGTGGATGGTATGAATTAGGCATGCGTTTCCTCTGAGATGTGATGTACTGCAACAGGCGTGAACAATTTTGGTGTACAGGGAGATTGAGAGAGAGCTTAACTTTACAGCCATCTTGAAAGGACATATATACCCATCTTTAGTCAAAAATCAACTTCTTCCTCTCCTATGGAGCCACATGTGCTTTAATGCATAGCATGTCTGTGGGTAGTCAAGATCATTCTGTTAATTGTACCAATCCTGTTGGGGAAAGACTGCAAGGACAGGGATGAGGGCTGGAATGGGAGAAAGCAGCTATGGAGCCATGAGGAAGCACAGGGAGACTGGAGGGAGAGAAACTTGAGAGGCTCTGCTCATGTTGCTTTCTCAGTTTACTTGTAGAAGGAAAACCAGAAAAAGGTATCTGGCCTGATCAGAAACTGCTCAGAAAAACTAACAGCTCAGTGAGGAGAGAGCCTGGGCTTTCAGGCTTTTAGCCTGGACTGTGTATAAGGCATCAAGGATAGAGATGCCAGCTTCTGACCTGTTGTCTCCAGCTTTTCTGTTTCCTTGTAGCCTGTGGCAATTTTTGGCCTGGCCATTATGGGACATTGCTGGGATTCTCCTAGCATCATTTCCAGGTTGTCCTTAGCTCCTGGAGGACACCTGGGACAAGGTTGCATCTGTTGCAGTGGGTGAGTGAATGCTCTGATGGGCTGTGTGCTGGAGGACTGGAGCCCATCACCATGTTTGAAGGCCTTCGTCCCCTTGCCCCAGCCTGGCAGTGGTGGCTGGGGTGAGCAGTAGGGCTGCTTCTGCTCATAAGGAGAAGTGATGGTGACCACAGTGTCCTCCATCCCTCTCTCCTCGGGTACTGCTTCTGGCTAATATCTGACTTATTTCCTGGAACCCCTAGGGTCAATTGGCAGCCTTGGGATGGCCGAACTGTGTAAATCAGGTTCCTTACTGACAAGTGCAGTGGATATAGCTCATGCCTGTTGATCAGTGGCTACAAAATGTGGTCAAAAGCAGGCTGTGATATTTTAATGTTTTTCACTTTCTATTTGGAGACATTTACAAGTAGTTCAAAATATAGAGAAAAGTTTTGTGAACTCTCCCGGTATGACTAGTGTGTCTAAATATGCAACTGGTGAAACTCTGGTAAGTATGAATCAAGAGAACTATTAGTCATTAGTAAGCCTCTGAATATCTCTTGCACATAAAACCATGCCAGGAAATATGCCAGGAAATGTACATCTCCTTATTTGTCTCCATGTATCTCAATGCGCTACTTGTATGACAGATTCAACCCCTGTGTGTGTAGCATATATGCACTGAATTGTATATTTCAGATGCAATGCAGATGTGGGCAGGTGGGTGTACATTTACCTATGCACCAAACATTTATTTTTAGCATATAAAATACAATTGCACATATTTTATTTGGTAAAGTTGTGTAAAATATATGTGTAGGTCTCTGTGCAGCATGAATCTTGGTTACCTAAACACCTCCACCCCCACACCATAGTATTATTAAATATAGAAAGTAATATGATAAAAAGAGACCTGGTTTGGTTATTAACTCATGGTAGAGAGCTGGCATGTACCCCATGCATAGGCCTGCCCTTTATATAAAGTTTCTCTTTTAGTAAATAAATGATCAAACCCAGAAATACAAGCAGCTTCTTCCTCTGGCAGTAGCTGCAGCACTGCAATATGGGCAGTGTAAGTTTTTGTACCTCCTCTGTAGTTTTCTCCTTTCTTTCTTCTTCTCCTAACTCTCCATTTCACTTAAAAAAATAGTATAAAAAATAGGTGTTTAGATATTTGACATTCCTTTCTAAGAAATACACATCTGGTATAGGGGGCAAAACAGAGGCATATGAGTGCTCCACTGGGAAGTCTTTCATGACCCTGAAGATAAGTGTGAGAGGCTGGTTGGTGTCAGCACATGTTTTCCTTTCTTTGGGAAACAAACTTCTGCACGCTCTATATCAGCACCAGCAATCTCTCACCTTCATTTGGTGGCAGGAACAG